GGAGATCGCAGCATATGGAATGTGTTAAGTTTAGCATCTGTCACATTTATCAATGTTAGGCTAAGAATATATAAAACAGATGATTCTTCATATTAACATCAAGCTCATGTTTCTTGTCCATTTCGAAGTATATTGTCCAGTATGTAGATGGGCTCCAACTGACCTAAACTGCTAAAGAAACACCGCACTAACACATTCCATGTGCCAATGTTGGGGCAGATCCCTTCCCTTATCATCTTATGAAGATAAACCATGGCTTCATCTAAACCTATCAAATTACAAATCCCAGACAGAAGACTGGTATAAGTTATTACATCTGGCTGCCACTCCTTTGCCGCACCAATACTGTTGAAAATCTGAGTAGCAGTGCTTATCCTACCTTGCTTACAATAGGCATGTATAATTATGTTATATGTGATGGCATCAGGCTTTGTTCCCTCTACCAGCATTTTGCCGAAAAGCTGCATACCGTCCTTGGTCATTCCAGCTTGACAAAAACCATTCAAAATGGTATTGTAAGTTACCAAATTCAGTTCCATCCCTCTTTCCTGTATCTCCCTAACATGTCCAAATGCTTCTTCGAATCTGTTCACCTTGATGAGACCATCCAATAGCTCATTATATGTTGTAATGTTAGGAAAACACCCATGCTTCTCCATCTTCTCAAGCATCTTGACAGCCCAATCTACCTTTCCATCGCCACATAACCCTTTGATAAATGTGTTAAATGTAACTGTATTTGGAGGACAACCTTCAGCTGTCATATTTTCCACAAGACATTGAGCTTGATGAAACATATAATTCCTACAAAGAGCATCCACCATGCAGGTATATGCTATAACATTAGGACGGCAACCATGGTTCATCATATTGTTCCAAGTCTCAGATGCACCAACAAGGTTACCAGCTTTCGCAAAGCCATCAATAAGAGTGCTATATGTGGTCACATTTGGAGGGCAGCCATTTCTCTCCATCTCATGTAAAACAGATACAGCATCACCCATTTTCCCATTAGAGCAGAGACCATGTATCAGACTAGTAAATGCAATAATATTGGGCACAAATCCCTCACGAATTATGCGTTTCCACAAGCCAAGAGCTTCATGGACTCTCCCTTCTAGAAAATAACCCTTTATCAAGGAAGTAAAGGTGTGAATATTAGGACTACATCCTCTCACAAACA